AAAATACATACTTGTAACAATATAGGTAGACCACGGTGTAATTGTATGGAAATACAGAGGGTTGCTTCTACCAAGTATCTTGGAGTCATGCTTGATCAGCGCCTTTCATGGCATTCACATATTTAATATGTAAATGGTAGAATTAGGATACTGATTTGGCTATTTAAAACACTAAGGTACATTGCAGACATAACATTACTTGACCAGTTGTACATTACATTGGCACCATCAATACTGAGTTATTGTATTGTCGTATGGGGCGGCGCAAATAAAACCAAATTTTTAGAAGTGGAGAGAGGGCAGTGATGTATCCTTAAGGTGATGCACTCCAAACCATACAGGTTCCCTACTAATGAACTTTACCAATTTAATGGTCACCTCTCAATGAGGAAACTGTACATCCTTTTTGCAATACTAAAGCTACACAAGTCCTTTCCGTGTAACCCTCTGCTTATGTCTCGTAAACCGAAAAATAATTTAGTACCTCAACCAATTTTTAAATCTGTATTCGCCAAAAGTCAATTATTACTAAAAACGGCACATTTATATTATTTATAATTATTGCTAACATAAAAAGAAACATTTACCATTTAAACTTGTATAATCGTAAAAAAGCGTTGACAAACTGGCTGTTGACATTTAATTTTGAAGACACGGAGAACATAATCACTACTTAGCGTACACACAATACTCTTTGGAAAAAAACACAATGCTTACTTTTTTTTAGATATTGCTGTTTGTAAATTTATTAAATTGTGCGATTCTATACTTTGTCTCCTCCATATAGTTTCTACACCAACAAAATTCCTAGCTTGTAATAATAATAAATAAATAAATAATCTTATCAAAGGTAAGCAAATTACAATTCATTATATTCATCAAACTCTACTACTCATTCGTAAGGCAGGTTCTTCTGAGAGGGACGTACAATAAGTTGAAGATATTGGTAAATAAATATTTGTAAACATTTGTCATTTACAATAATTATTGTAATTTATTTAAGTTTAAATTTAAGTTTAGTTTACATTTATCATTTACAACATTTTTCTATTTAGATTCGTAAAGCTTAGCATATCGCATCATCTTTGTTAACTTGTATAATTAGTATAATTAATTTAGCTTTTGTAACTTAGAAAATAATAGTTTGTTTCATACAACTAAAAGATAATGGAAGAGCTGGACTTCCTGTCACAGGTGGATGACACCGACTAGGAAGGCCCAACCTTGTGTGAAAACAAGTTAATAAAACGAAATAAACTTTTTTAATTTTTAATTTTCAAAATGCGAATTTTCAGTGACTAAAAACTGCAGAAACTGAGTATCGCGAATTATGGAGTAGTGTGGAAGAGGCTTTAGGATAGCACTGCAGTGGTGAATATTGCACTACGCCATTATAATGCACTGATCGTCCTCAATATCATTTTAAAAAGCACTTACCTCGTTTTTAGTACTAAAACAGACTCATTCCTAAACGCTAAGGGGTGTTAGTGTAAACCTGCTGTTAGTGAAACTTGGTGAAGTGAGTGCAATGACGATGGAGACGAGAAGATCGAGTCTAGGAGCGACTTACTACGAGCGGAAGTACGGCACTGCACGAAAACAACAAAAGATTTTGGTAAGTTATAATAGGAACACGTCATGTGCATTTAAATGGCATTTAACATCTGTTATTTTTAGGGAAGGAATGTCACTTGTAAATTGAGACTTTTGCATGTTTGTATAGTGTTTAATTACAACACTTTTTGTGTCCAACAAGCACAGTCAGTACTGGACACAAAAAGAAACAATATAATTCACACTTTTCTCAATGTTGGACACTAAAATTAAGTTTTAAAGACGCCATAATCGAAGAGATGAGATGACGCCGCGAGAAGCAATGTCCACGTCGCCGGTGTAAAACGCAAATATAAAACAAACGGAATAAAGAAAATACGTAAAAATTTGTACGTGTATCTGAAGCTCATATTGATTTATTAAGTAATCTCTACCAGGCAAAATTACGGTATCAAATTGAATACCGCGATTTCCTGACGAAGTCTTAAAATTATATGCCGAATGTGACAACACACAGGTTGTTCAGCAATGAAGCAATCATGGGGAGGTCTAAGGTTTGGTTCCTGGTAGAAACAAGTTCAAAAACAAATTTTACTAAATTGTTTCTTGTCTCGGTATTCCGGATTACTCCGATTCTCGTTATTGTCGTACAGGGAATTTACTTGATTAAACGCAAGACGGGATTTATCTGGCACGTTTATTCCATCTAAATCCTGAAGACTTGTAGAAAATTTGAGCATCGTTTGGTTTAAAGAGGAAAATTGTAAGGGTTGATGTCAGCCAGTATGTGTGTGAAGAGCTTTTTCTTGGTAATATTGACAAGCTTGTACGCGACGCTGTTCAGGCCGTCCGTCTTGTAGCGTCGCTTCGTTTTGTCCAGGTCTATGTATCTAAAATCAAGTATGGAGATGTGGGTACTAATATATAATTAAACAAACTTAAACGAACCACATATAAACACATCAAAAGTGCTTTTGTCACATGAACGTCATAAAAATAATACGAATTACTTGAAACAAATCTTAGTAGCTGTAGAGCTCCTTGTGAAAGAGTTCGTCTAGGGAAGTACTGCCACCTTACCTATTTCTGCCGCCAAACAGTAATGTCAGCATTACTGTGTTCCGATTCTGAAGGGTAAAGGTGCCGGTGAAATTACAGGCACATGGGAATTGTCAACTTATGTCTCAGGGTGACAGGCGCAGTGGCAGTGTCGCTCAGATCTTTGCGATTTAAATCTCTAAGTGGCACTCCAACTGTTGTGGACAGGCGTGCAGTTTACCTCCAGGCACACGACTTATTCGTCCCATCAATTGATATTATAAAAAAAGTATATGTGACATTTTATAAATCTCCTACTTAAGTATAAAAGTTATCGACTGATTTCTTTTGTTGAGCCTTTAAAGCGTGAAACACGCATAGAGCGGGTGCGGGTCGGGTCGGGACCGCTGCTATAAATACACGAAAATAGACCCTATTTTCGTGTGTTTATATGGACAACAACACACCGAGCGCAGGTGCGTGCGGTCCCGACCCAACCCCCGACCCGATCAGCGCCCGACTTGGGTGCAGGCTCTCTGTGTGTTTCATGCTTAAGGCTCTTTCTTGAAAAGTAGCCATTTTGCAAATGTGATCTTATTACCAATGGTACCCTATTTACCCTACACGAAAACCGAGTCAAGTTTTTTAAAGTTCCTCAAAAATAAGCACGTAATCGTAGTCGTACTTAGCACATAATTTGTGCTAAGTACGACTATTTTGTTCTTACAAACTACTCAATGATAGCAATCATCTACCTGTATATATTGATTTTATTCCTTGTATGTTTCGTATGAGCGTATACACCCGTGGTATTTCTAGCGCGATAAATTTGCAAATTATTCATGGTAAATCTAAAAAGAACACGTTTCTATGAGTACAGTACGTAGAAAAGAACAGTATGTAGAAAAACATTACTTCTTGTCCAATCTCTGGTCTCTGGTTCAAGGTCTGATTGAGAATACAAGGCCATTATTTCAAGACTGCTTGATTCTTGCTGTTCGCGGCGGGTAGGTTGCACCACTTGCATGTAACTCATGTGTTTATATCAAAATATACAAACCATACATTCAGCGTAATACAGGGGCGAGCTATCGGCATTGATCCCCCTGCTACCGTAGTTTGAAGGCAATGGTTTTATAGAGCATTTATGATTTGCGACCAGACAGTAGTACGTACAGTCTGGTACACAGAGAAAAGCACACCTGTGCGCAAAAATGCTGAATATCATTGTAACGTCATGAGAACAAAAAACACCAGCTTATTGAAAGAAATACCTTATGTAGAGATCATCGTCCTCCCCTCCCCAGTCCCAGTAGGAATTGGAATATCCGTTGATAAGGACGTAGTGAGTAGGAGTCATAGCTAACACGCCGCCGACCAGCTCCGGATAAGGCAGCCTGTAACATGACTAAAATGTATGGCAGATTTCATTTGAATATAATTCTACAGTAAAAAAACGAACTTCATAATTGATGTAAGGAGCTCAAAGTCTAGACCATAAACCCAGTCTTCTTCAGCAAGAAATTCTTTGAAACGTACCATTATTACAAATGCTTGTGAACATAAATATTTGTTTACATGGTGTGTTCAAATGTTCCATAGTACACACGTGTGGCGCACTATAAGTTTCCGGAATGAATAAGAAAAAAATACTATAAATGGTCAGAAATGAATTTATTGTTTTTCAAAATATTCTCCGTTAGCGTTAATGCACTTTTTCATACGAATGAA